ATTGACACCACAATTAACATCACAGATCTGCAGGAAGCATATAAGGGGAGTCCTGAACATAGCGGTACCACAAGTATGAAAGTTAAACTTCTCAATTTCATCTTACTGCTCTCTAGACAGTACACATTACTGCAAATTGGTCATAATCATGGTTCCCACAATCATCCTCTCTAGAAACTTTATTTCACATCAAAATTCAGTTATCAGCTGGCTGTGATGGCACACACCTCTAATTCCAGTAGTCTGGGAGGCTGAGGCAGGAGTATTGCAAATCTGAACCTACTTTGGGCAACTTAGACTTTGTCCCCACTACTTGCTCTCAGAAGAGGAGGGTGCTGGGGATGTAGCTCAGTGTGAAGGCTGGGTTCTGTGACTAGTATGGTAAAATTCAGTTTCTGGCAGTTTCTTCAGTTAACTTTGTATTTACTATTTTTTTTTAAACTACGTTTATTTGAAGGTGGAGAAAAGGAGGAAGAGAGAAAGAGACAACAGATAGCTACTTGAGGGGTAGTGAGCATTCAGTCCACAATTCTAGTTAGTGTCAAAGCCCACTAGGGTGAGACCTAACAGTACTTTTTGGCTGTGGTCCCAAACTAGTGGAGTCTCCAGCATGAGTTTGGCTGAGGCTGAACATACATGTACCTTTTGAAAGCTAACCTTCCTACAGTCCACCCTAACAGGACCGGCCAAGAGGGCTGGTTCCAGCTAAGCTGTGGCCGACTGCTCCAGGGCTAGTCGCTCAGGGCACTCAGCTGTCTTCTCCTATCACTTTCTCAGCCCAGTTAATGTTATGTCTGCACGTGGACTGTAAGACGCTGCTCTGCTGGAAAATGCAGCTCTTGGCAATCATAATCCAGGGTCAGTCAAGAATTAAAGAAGCCAAGTTTAAACTAAGAGAAGATGGTTTGTTTGAACAGTGTGAAAAGGAGAAAAAGTGACGACAGATAAATAGCTACATGATGAGCAGGGAGCATTTGAAAGCGAAGTACTCCTGTGAATCAGTGTTCATCATTTAAACCTTTCCCCCCTCAGTACTAGGGCGCAAATCCAGGTCCTCAAGCATAGTAGACATAGTAGCGCTTTACCACTGAGCTATATCCATCCTCACTTTGTCCCTTTTCACTTCTTTTTTTTTTTTTTTTTGGTCTTTTGAGACAGGGTCTCACTATGTTGTTCAGGCTGGCCTTGAACTCACTATGCAGCCCAGGCTGTCTTCCATTTGAGGATCCTCCTGCCTCAGCCTTCCACATACTGGGACTACAAGCATGTACCACCACACCTGGCTGTCCTTTTTTTTTTTAGACAAGCTCTATAATTCAGGATGGTCTTGAACTCACTATGTAGCCCACGCTGGCCTCGGAATAGCCTTGGGCCAGGGGTATAGCTCAGCAGCACAGCACCTGCTTGGCAAGCGCAAGAAGTT